CATCTGCAAACCAACCCCACCCTGAACTCTACCTTGAACCACCCTTCCAAGGACTGAGGCTCTGTTGCTTGGCCAGGCTTGTCTGCCTGACTCTCTTCCCTCGGATGGGTTCTTACTATGGAGTCATAGTCACTGCTGACCAATCCTAACCGGATGCCAGTGATGGACTCAGTTAAAGCTTCTCTGTACTTCCCCTTCTCCACTAATATCCTCTCCCCACCTCTACCTTCCTGGACCTAAACGACTGTCTTTATTAACAACAGTGCTGCCCAGCTGGCGTGGCTCAGTGATTGAGCATCAACCTATGAACCAGGAGGTCATGGTTGGAGTCCTAGTCAGGGCACATGCCCAGGTTGTGGGTTCAATCCCCAGTGTGGGGCATGCAGGAGGCAGCCGATCAATGATTCTCTTTCATCATTGATGTTTCTATCTCTCTTTTCCTCTTCCTTCCTCTCTGAAATCAATAAAAATATACTTAAGAACAACAACAACAGACAGCCGTCACAGCTAGCTAACATTCACTGAAGGCTTACATGTACCAGATACGTGTGTACATGTGCCATGTCTTTCTCTGGAGTAGAGTAGTACTGAGCACTGACACTGAAGTCAGGCTGACCTGAGGTTACATCCAGCTTCACTACTCATTATGTGACAGGAGCAAATCTCTTAATCCCTCGGTACCTCCGTTTCATCCTCTGTAGACTGAGAAAACTAATCCCTCTCTTACCGGGTGTTGAGAAGATGAAATGAGAAAACCTGTATAAGCTCTTAGCACAAAGCCTGGCACATGAAAAGCACTTAGTGAATGATAATTATTATTCTTTTTGCTATCCTTGCTCAAAATCCCTCTCTAATGTAATCCAACCAATTAGGGTACATTTTCTTCAAGTTCAGATGATGTAGACTATGGACCTCTCTTCTGGATTATAGGCTTGTAAACTGGGGCATAGTCATAGGAGTGGGTCAATATATGTATGAATTGAGTGCAATCTCTTTTATCATACTTTTCCCCTGCTTCAGCATCTACAGACTTCCTCGTTTTTCATAGAATACTTCGAACGTTCTTAGTGTGGGTGTGCATTGGGGGTGTGATACGTGCGTGTGTGTGTGTGTGTGTGTGTAGGTGTGTTAGGTTTGTGTGTTATGTAGTGCATATGTTGTTTGTGTATGTGTGTTACATGTGTGTTGGGTATGTTTTAAGTATGTTTTGAATGTGGGTTGTGTGAGTTGTGTGTGTTATGTGGGTGTGGATGTGTGAGTGTGCAGCTTGAATCTCAAGGGTAGGAACAGAGCTTTCTAGTTAATGATGTGGGACAGATGAAAGGGCATGGACTTTGAGCACAGATTGTCCTAAATTGGGATCTTAGCACTACCATTAATTCACTGGAGACCTTGGATATTACTTAACCTTTCTAAATGTTTTCTCATCTGGAAGTTGTGTAAAGGACTAGAGATTGTACTAGTGCAATATATCCACTTGAGCCCAACATGCAGAGAGCACTGGATTAGTAGCCATTTTAGTGGTACCCGGAGCCAGGGTAGAGTACTCCAAGCAGAGTAGACCCCAAATAAAGTACCCATTGGTTTGAGGTCCCTCTATCTCTGCTGCTCTTAGGCTTCTAGAGGCCCTTTCCACACCCACGAAACAACAAGCATTTGAATTATAGACAAGTACATCCGTGGCATCTCCTGAAGATGTGGGTAACTATCGGAAGCACCGGGGCTTCCGAGGTCAATGCCCCTCCCAACCCACAAGAGGGAAGGCATGCAGCCCCAGGGAGGGAGAGGACGCTCTAAAAAAAGGAAGCAATGATTAGTGTCCCGCACACTCCAGGCTTACACTCTCTCCATTCTTAGTGCTGAGAGTGATATGAGTGGTTGGTTCATCACTTTTCATTGGGATGTTTTCAGAAATACCCTGACATCATCTGAGTGAAACATCTTTGTATTCATATCTCATGCTGTAGCAATGTGCTGCTACATTTCTAATTCTGGAGAAAGTGCTCATGAGTGGAGGGTGGTTAAAGAAAAGAAAAGAAAAAGGGGTGGCAAGTTCAACTGTCAATATTTCGTGCCTACGAAAGTGTTCAAATTGAGGTGTCATCGGTCCTTACCCCTTTGTCGAAGGTCGCGAAAAACTTGATGTAAGGCTGGAAGTGCTCAGCTGCCTCTTCAAAAGCCTTGTAATCTAAGAGGAAAAAGTAGACGGGAGAGACATTTGCAAGACGCACACTGCAGACATTTCTTTGTTTAAATAATGGAGAGAGTGGGAAGCCAATTAGTCCTAATTGGATAATTATTGAGTACATATTATTTAGATAGATAATTATTTAGTACCATTTAAATCCACAGCTTCCCCAAGGAGTTGGAACTGATTGGCATTCAATCACCCAAAAGAACTCTGCCACACTGTTGTATGTTTTACAAAGCTGGTAGATGGAAAGGAGAAAACCCAGAGAGAACAAGGGGAAGAAAAGGGGTGGTCAAACCCCAAACCCAAAGGAAAAGTTCTTTCGCTCGAAGTCACTGCTACTTTTTCATGTGCCCCCTAGAGAGTTGCAGCCTGTGTGTGAGGGAACACAGTGTGCGGAGAAATGTACCTCAGTCAAAATGACAGCACAGAAGTATTTTAAACTCTTAGCAGGAGCACTCTTTTTGGTAAATTCTTTCCCTCTTTTTAATTTTTCCTTTTTTCATCCTGACCCCTTGAAAGGATCACTTAAAACTAATCAAGACCATGCTTGACTCTGGTCCCAAACTTGAGTACAAACTGGGGAAGAGAGGCATGAGGCCGCATGGGTATGGTCATGTTGTGTCTTACCACACCCAGACAGTTACTAGGTAAAGGCATCCTGGTTCAAGCCTTAGATGTGAGGGTGATGATAATGGTAATAGTAGTAGTGTTTCTACAAAAATTCCGTAATCTTGAGAGCCAATGATCCAACAAGATTAACTTTTTCCATTTCCTGGAATTCATACCCCTTCATCATCAGAGGTACAAGCTTTTGCCAGAATTCTAAGAGCATGAAGAATTTTCTAACCTTCAATGGAAAACATTTCAAAAATAATGCTGGCTCGGGGGACACCAAAATGAGGAAGACATGGACAACAATCAAAGGCTCACAGCCCAGGGTGGGTCATGGACCCTTGAAGAATCACAGTGTGGTGTGATAGTTGCTAGAACAGAGGTACGCACAATAGGCACAGATGAGAGAGGGGTAGAAAGTATACAACAAACCTCTACATACTGATCCACATTCACACAAACTCATCCTCATAAAAGTGATTGGGTTGTCCCAAAATATGTCATATAGGCCGATAGTTGGGGTGGAGGATTGAGTGGAGGGGAAGAAGATGGGTGAGAGATTTGGAGAATGAATAGAGGGAGGTGGGAGAGGAAATGGTTAAAGCCATAGCTAAGTCACTTATGTCTATTTATAGCAGCAGTGGGCTCCTTAAGAATTCTCTGTTCTCCGCTTCCGTCCTCCTTGTCGCTGATGAACCTCTCTCCACCTTCCTGAACTCCTTCCCTGAAGGAAAGCATGGCCTAGACCAGTGATGGCGAACCTATGACATGCGAGTCAGAGGTGACACGCGAACTCATTTTTTTGGTTGATTTTTCTTTGTTAAATGGCATTTAAATATATAAAATAAATATCAAAAATATAAAAATATAAGTCTTTGTTTTACTATGGTTGCAAATATCAAAAAATTTCTATATGTGACACGGCACCAGAGTTAAGTTAGGGCTTTTCAAAATGCTGACACGCCGAGCTCAAAAGGTTCGCCATCACTGGCCTAGACCTTTGTCAAGAGAGCTCCCTTCTTCTCTTGGGGAGCCAGTCTATATCCCTAAGGTGGAAAAGGGTGGGGGATCCCAGGTTGGTGCTTCAAGTTAGGGTTGTTCCCGTAGCCTTCTTGCAACAGTAGTTGTCTTCAGGAAAACCCGGTCTAGTCTTCTACTCTGATCTCCCCAGAGTAGTCAGTATCTATATAGAAATGTGAACATTGAAATGAAGTCACCCAAAGAACCAGGGCAGAACTCCCCACTTAGCCACCTTCCCCCAACACACTGTTAAGGAGGGTGAATAGAGACGTTTACACAGCAGATGAGGAGACAGTTCAGCTAGGCCACGGGGGAGAGAAAATTGGTGGGTGGTTGCGATGACTGAGGATGCCAGTTGGCAGATGGGGTAGAGACACAGCTTCACAAATAATTTCAAAATATTTTGGAGTTTCCAGAAATAGCCAAAAGCATCCCTTATTTGCACTTCCCTCCTGGACTAATGCTACCAGGTCCTCTTTCATACCTAAGCCCACTCCCTCTCTCCAAGGCTGAGACACCAGAAAAAGGCTTCACTCTGGGCTCACGCTGCCAAAGCACTTTAAGAAAAGGTACTCAGGTTGTTAGCCTTGCTGGTTCCTCCCCTTCCTGATTCCTCCTGACTTCAACCCCTGTAGGGTTGTGCTGATGCTGTGATATGTAACTGTGCCCACCCAAACCCCAGCCGCAAAACTTTCAAAGGGAACACGCCCAAGGGTGTGGTGTGCTACTGCAGGCTGCCTTGGTGGTCAGCTGGGTTGGCCAGCAGTTTTCCACATTGTGCTGCAGCTGCTAAGCCCAGCCCTACCCCAACTTTCCTCTAATGCTGTCCAAGTGACTGAGAAGCTCTCCAGCTGGTGACCATGGGAGCTGCCCGTGTCAGGAAGACAGCCCACTATTTGCCCCCTTTTAAGGGAGAATCCAACTGGTGGGTGAGCCGGTGGAAAAGTGGAAGAAGGGCTTTCTCTCTTCTGTAAAACATTCACCCCCTTCAAGGCCAGAGAACATGGCCCAGCCTCAGCCTTCCTTCAGCTCCCCTGCCTGCTTTGTACAGTCAATACAGGTGTCCCTTTGCTCAGGGTGCAAGGAAGATTCTCCCTCCTACCCCGCATGGGACATGCCCACCGTCTTTATGGATAACATGACATACCTTGCTAGGAATGTAGCCTTTAGACCAACAGGCTGGAGTTGACAGACAACTTACATTCTGAGTCTTCGCTCTTGAAAAAACCAATGAGTTTGATGTGGTCCTCAATGCGTTCAAAAGCTTGGACTTCCAGTTTGCTGCCGATGACCTCCACTGGATCTTCAATTAGCTGAAATGCCACACACAAATACACAAAATCGGTTCCTTCCCCAGGAATTGGGCACATAGGCAGAGGGCTTTGGAGGGAAGTTGTGGGACTTCGGTTGGTGCCTCAGCATCCATCCCACCCTCCCCCAATGAGTACAGCAACAGCGCCTTTTGAGGACTTGACCTTGACTCAATAGGGTAGGCTGGTTGGTGTGGGCAGTTCTATCTCTCTTGTCATTTATTGGTTCAGAAATGGCATAAGACCCAGATCTGGTCAATGACTCTCCAGGGAAGATTTGCTGAAAGCTTTAGGAAAGTTCTGCTTTCTCTTAAAGGCAACAATGGGAAGCCAGATTTTTCCCTCCCTCTTATTGGATATTAATGAGGAAATGTGATGTATCTGCTCCTGCTGCTGGCTTATCTTAGAATCAACTTGGGAACAGTCAGCTTAGGGACAAAGCCAACACAGAGAAAACAGCATTATACACGGTTTACAGAGAAAAATGGTGCGAGAGCCTTGTTTTGATCAACTCTAAAATCTGCCCTCACTCTGGATTTCTATTTGTGTGGGTGACCACGTAGCCTGTTGTTTACGGTAACTAGAGTCTGGCGTCTGTTGCGAGCTAAAAGCCTTGGCCTCGCTGGTAGGGCGGGGCAGTGCCACGTTGGCCGAGCTGTTCAGCTGCTGCCCTCAACTTCTTTAGGGCTTGCAGTTATGGGTCAATGACGGGCCAACGAGAACCTATGGGCACTTTTTCATAGGAGGTGACCTAACTCACTTAGACTCCGTCTCTGGGTTTTTGAGGCTGTGGAGAGAGGTGAGCGACCACTGTGGACGAGCTGGTAGATAAGAATTGTCAATATGGATATGCATTTTCTGTACAGGAATCTGTGTTCAAAAGTAGCTTGAACTGGACTTCACAGCTGCTATTGAGACTGTGGGTTTGTCTATGGATAGAATATTTGTATAGTGTTTGAGCATATGGATCCGCCTGTGCATATGGATCTGAGGGTAGTGGACCTCCATGGCTGAGAAGGAGGATGATATTGGGACTCATTAGTCCTGCCCCTTTTTATTCTGCTCTGAGAGTAACTCGGCTGATCGTTCCTCCTCTCCCTACTGGTCTTCAGGTGACTAGCCACCACTTCCTCACAATTCCCAACTCCTGTTCAGAAGCCCTGGAACAAGCCAAGGGGATTCCAGGGGGTGTCGGTATATGACTGCTAAGAGAGATAACATGTTACTACTACACAGTTCCGATCTGTGACCCTCTGATCACAAGGAAACAGTTTCTCAGGTGACCTAAGGGCCCGCTTCCTGGAATAAGTAAATAGCACTGGGATGTACGCTGTCCTTGACTTTTTGTGAAGCCTGGGAAATCTGTCTTAGATCAAGTCCAGTTACCCAGCTTCTGTGCTCTTATTTTAAAGTTTTACTTCCCCCCTGTATGGAACCCAAACAACTCCATGCGGGGCACTGTGCATAAATGCTCACGTCCAAGAGAAACTCCACCAGGACATCAGCTGCAAACTCGCCATCAAACTCAATTGTGCGATCGCCCTTAAGAATGTACAGGCTTCCTTCTTCATGGAAACCTGGAAGAAAGGAAGAGTTCCCATGACAAGATGATCCTGATGCAGGAAAAGCCATCCTGTTGGCTGGGTCAGGATGAGTGGAGCCTGCCTTACTCCTAAGATGGTTCCCTTGAAACCAAACCTCTGAGCTGCTCCTAGTGGAAATTTAGATCAGATTTCTGGGCACCCCACAAACAGCTTGCTTTTCTAGAGGAGCTGAATTCTGCACATCCTCTCTTCCCTGTCCATTGAGAATGCTGCCAGGGCCGGGTCTGCATCGTTTCCTACCCTCCATTGCTCTTGGAAATTTAAATCAAATTTAAATAAAATAGTCAAGAACCAACAATCCCACCTGGATTTTAACTTAAAAGAAAAATCTATTCTCCACACCATCACTGCTTCAATTTTCCAAAACTCCTGTGACCCCGTTCTCCTTGACACAAAGTTGCAATGCCCTCTGCCCACCTGACTCCTTAGCCTGCCATTCAGGTCCTTCCACAACATCATGCCAACCCCACCCTTCACATTCTCCCTTGGGTAGACCAGTGCTCCTTTGAGAACTGCTCTTTTACTCCCTGTAACTCCCTTTGCTTCTTGCCCACAAGCTGATGTAAAAGGGTTTATATAGGAAAGGTCACAGCATGATTCTCTGCACGTATGTTCTATTCTTCGAGTCTGAGGTGACCCCCACCCTCCGCCATCTTGGTCAGCTACTTCGGGTCTCAGCTTAGGACTCATTTTCCCCAGGAAGGCCACTCTGGTGTCCCCTGCCATGACTGGTCTTCTCTGGGCTCCATGTACATGCACTCACGGTAGCAGTCAGCTCTCAGAGGGTAGGACCATTGTTATCTTTGTATCTCAGGGTGTCACTCAGAGCCTGAACACACTGGGCACCCCATAAATGTTTGTGGCCAGAGCGAACAGCTTGCTTTTCTAGAGGAGCTGAGTTCTGCACATTCTCTCTTCCCAGTTAGCTGAGAATGCTGCCAGGCAGGGTCTGCGTCTTCCCACCCTCCATCGCTCTTGGCACAATGCCGTGACCTGAACAAATACTTGCTGCAAGATTGCATTTCCCCCGGGAAGGCTAACGAGCTGAGGCTGGCGTTTAGTCCAGCTGCAGGCATCCTTAGTTCCTTAGATTCCTTGTTTTCAAACTCTGTTGCTGGAGAATGCTTTCTCCAAATGAACTCTTCTGCGAACCTCTAGGGAAAGGGAGGCTGGCCCCCTCCTACTGTGGCCCAGGGCATGTCTGAATATCCCTGGGCACAGCCTGGAGCACCATTTCCAAACCTAAAGGAGCAATGCGTCATGCATCCTTGAACCTGGCAAAAGCTTATCACAAGGATACCGCAGGAATAGCAGCCAGTGTCCCTGCTGTTGGATTTTGCTCCGAGTGAAATCAGTTAGGAGGCTATTGCACTGGTTCAGCCCTATGGCGACCCAACTCGGGCAAGTGGAGGTAAGGATGGAGATGAAGAAGAAGGTTCACAAAACACCACTGTCCTGGAAACTCCGAGGATCAGGTAGTTGAGAAGGAACCTGCTCCGGTAATTCCTCCAGGCTGAGCTTGGGGAAAGGCCCATTGAGACTTTTCAAACCCCATCACATCCTGACTGGGAGGATGTTCACTGGGCCATATGAATGCTTTCCCAGCTTATCCTCCCTAAATTTCTAGATCACTGGAACACTCATTTTTTCCTCAAACTAAACTGGAAATCCAACTTCTCTTTAAAACAATGGGATTAAGCCTGCAACTAAGTTAGATGCCCTTGACTGGGAATCGAAACCTCAACCCTTCGGTCCGCAGGCTGATGCACTAACCAGCGAGCCAAACTGGCCAGGGCTACCTAGAGGTATTGATAGAACCACCACTAACCCCCACCCCCATGCTTACTATTCCACATCCAGTTAACCTTTCTTCAAAGGTCCTGTTTTATAACCTCCTGCTATGGCCACTGTTCACTAGTCATGCAGAAAAAAGCGAAATGGGCAGTTCACGTGTGGGATGTTTGAAAACCAGGGAAGTTGTTTGTGTTCTTTCTCCTTGGGATTAGCACTGTAAGGATCTTAAAGTTCGCTTGCACTTATGCAGGACATATTGACCCAGAGATTACAGCCCGAGCTCGGCAGTCACGCATACCTCATCTAAATCCTCCCTCTCATCCTTGGTGATAGTGCCCAGCTGGGGTTTAGCCTTTAATTTAGAAACCACTGGGACATCAGAGTCACTGCCACTAATTTTGTATGTGTTGGCTGTTTTAGCCGAGAGGTAAGGAAATAATAGATGATGGAAGGAGAGACCACCATGGTAGTGAGATAGAGAAGCTGGCCTTTTAACTCTAGGATCTAAAAATAAAGGCTTAAATATTTAGTGTCAATTTCTCCAGGAAGAAGCCTTCTTCATTAGACGATTAATGTAAAACCATTCAAGTTAAGCTGGTATTTACTTTTCTGAAACTCTTCTACAACCAAGACTAGGGTATGCAAGATCATAACAATGAACATACATATAAAGCCCAGTTATCATGCAAGAATAAATGAAACTATACTTTTTTTTTTTTGCAAGACGCTTTGTTTCTTCCTGATGTATCTAACAAAAATCACACTTACCCAGTTTCTTGGCAAGCTTGGCTTCTTTCTTGGCATCGACCATCACAAAGCCTATATCTTTATGTTCCAGGACTTGAGCCACAAGCTGAAGGGAAAGACAAAGAGAATACGTGAGCCCAAGGCAGAAAGATATAGACTATGTCACAGGATAATATTTTGAGATGTTCAGGGGGCTTTCCTTCATACTCCCATTATTACTGTGACCAACTGGGGCGAAAGGACTCTATGCTTGTCCCCTCAGAAAGATGGGTACCCATCCACAAGTGGTATGGCCTAAAGTTTTCCACACTTAGGCATAGAGAAGAAATACAAATATTATCGAGAATATAAGAAATTAACTCTGAAAATTCAACACAGAATTTAGCTCTTGTGTCTCCGTAGGCACACACCACCGCGCTTTGTTTGTTTTTAGGTGGATGCAAATGTGTGCTCTCCTAGGCATGTCAATCACGGTCTCCTAATCCCACGTTGATTAGATGTGACTTTGGAAGACATACGAGTGGACGGGGAAGGTGCTGTCTCAGACAAACTCAGTTCTGCTCCCCTGGCTTCCTGTTTAACTGAGCAGAGCCCCTCACCGTCCTAGGCGTGGAAGCACAGACAGAAGCGGCTCTCACCGATGGGCCAAGACCACACTGCCAAGACCTGCTCACCTCCTCCTTGGCACACTGACGTACAATCCCCGCAGTGCCCCGTCACTCTCGCCTCCCACTGTGATTAGGCCCGAAGCCTGCCCACTTGAGCTCTGTCATCACTTCCGTCAGCCCTAGCGAGCCCCTCTCATGAGCCTAAGCCAAGGGTGACCCAAGGCTGACTGGCTGCAACCCAAGAGAGAGCAGTGAGACTGAGGGTGGTGGGGGGCGGGGACTAGAGAATGGCTGTGGTGAAAGGCCTTCTGGGCTGACTCCTGACCCGATCCCTTCCCCCCAAGACCAGGAACCCCGGATGACTGGGGGAGCAGGCCAGACATTGTCTGCGTCTCCCACTTGGCTGGATGGCACCTCCGCCTTTGCTCTGGCCCTGATCTCCAGCTCAGATGTTCCTTCTGCACTCGGCTACAGCCCAGTCCCAGTGCTCGCTCACGTTGCTGCCAGCCTTGGCCACCCTTGGCTGCAAAGCCCAGCTCCAGGGTCATATTTCACCCCAGCCTCCTTTCTGTGAATTCCAGTAGCTCATCGCAGAGACACGGCGGGCGCCGACGCTTATTTCACAGTCGTGAGAGTTGTGTACGTCTCTTCTGTACTGTGCATCTTCCTCCCTGAGAGAAGGACCCTTTTGTGCCTCTTTCGTGTCTCATGTAGTTCCTTAGAGACACCAGACTGTGTATGAAATGATGGACTGGCCCAAATACTTCACAAATTCAAGGACATTTGAGCCAATTGCAGGGATGGAGTTACAAATAGGAGGAGAAAGGAGAGAGTCACTGTCTTCTAAATTCCAGAAAACTGGAATCCTGCTGACTTAGTCTTTCCTCTGCTGGTTTTGTTTGTTTGATTGATTGGTTACTTCTCTGATGGTCTCACCTATTGTCCACCCTAGAGACCTATTGCCCACCCTTCAGAACAGGGTTGTCTCTTACTGGTTGGTACATGTTGCCCCTGGACTTTGGCACACATTCATTCTTTCCGGAAGCATTAGGATTTATTTTGGCCATTGCTGACTCTTTTTTGTTTTTTAAATCCTCACCTGATATGTTTTTATTGACTTTTAAAGAGAGGAAGAGGGAGGTAGAGGGAGAGAAACATCAATGTGAGAGAGAAACATTGATCATTTGCTTCCTGTACACACTCTGACCAGGGATTGAACCCTCAACCTAGGTATATGCCCTGACTGGGAATTGAACCTGTAACCCAGCGGTTCTCAACCTGTGGGTCACGACCATCGGAAAACACATATAGCATATCAGATATTTACATTACGATTCATAACAGTAGCAAAATTACAGTTATGAAGTAGCAACGAAAATAATTTTATGGTTGGGGGTCACCACAACATGAGGAACTGTATGAAAGGGTCGCGGCATTAGGAAGGTTGAGAACCACGGCAACCTTTTGGTGTGCATGATGACACTCCAACCAAGTGGGCAGCCATTGCTGATTCTTTCAAGTAGAAAAATAATTTTATGGAAAAAGTTCTATGAAATAATATGTAAAGTCAATAATAAAGTAGACATTCATAGTGTTCTCTCTCTCTCTCTCTCTCTCTCTCTATATATATATATATATATATATATTTCTCTCTCTCTCTAGCTTTTATTTTCTAGTCCTTTAGCACCTACCTAATGTTTTATTAGCTTCCTCCCTAATGAAATAACAAGATCCTTGATGCTAAAATATGTCTCGCCCACTTTTGTTTAGCACAGACCGTGATCATAGTAGGTCCTCAGTAGCAGTTACTGTTCTCTTTTCATTTCACTACATCAGGCTTTGGTATTTTTGAATCGGTCCAAGGTCCAGAACCCCATCCAGCTGTCATGGTATTAAGAAGAAAATCCAACACTGATGAAGCACTTACTGCATGCCAAGAACTGGGCCAGCACGTTACATGCTTTATCTCATAGAATCTTCACAACAGCCTCACAATAGATATTGTTATTGTCCATATTTTACGGCCATCCCAGCCCTTGCGACCAAGTCAGAAATCCAGGTCTCTGATTCCAAGCCCTGTGTTCTTAAGCACTGGGATTTACTATTCTTGGTCACTTATTCCCTTGAAGATGAAGTCTAGTTCGATGCCAATCATCACAGAGGCATCGGGCTGACTTCCTTGAGCAGAGGGCTTCTTTGGGGACACTGAAGGGAGTAGTGTGTTCCAGGCACATGAGAAAGTGTGAGGGACTCTGAATATTAGGACTGGTCGTTCTGACTTGGGAGCTGTTTGAATAGAAGAGCAGTGAGGCTAATTTGGGTTTGAGGAGGGTGATCTGAGGTCATAGACCTGACAGATAGAAAGGAGAGTGGAAAGGAAAGGCGACCAGTTGGGAGACTGATGCCATAGTTAAGTGGGAGGTGACTGGTCTCAGATGAAGGCAGTGGCAGTGGACGGAGAAGGTGTAACTTGTGAGGTTACAGATGGAGAGTCAGGCGGACCTGGTAGCTCTGCCATGCATGGCTTTGGAGAGAGAAGGGAGGGAAACCAAAGGAGAGGAGGAAAGCAAGATGATTCCAGGGTCTCCAGCCAGGGAACAGAGTGGAGGACAAAGCAGTGACGTCAGGAGGGCATGCCAGAGCCAGGGGCAAGGAGCTCCACCTGGATTCAGATGCAATGAGTTCATGGCGATGGAAGTCCAGCCAAGAGCTGGAGGTGCCAACCTGGAGCTCAGGGGAGAGGCTCCGAGTGGAGCTCCAGAGGTGAGAGGTGGGTGGCATCTTCAGGGACTGGCCACTTCATAGGAGGCAAGAGCAGGAGGAGGCAGAGTGGACTCTAAGAGAAGCAGGAGGAGGACAAGGAACACTGTGTCATGACTCCAAAGTCACGGGAAGAGAGAGCCTTGAGAAGGAGTGGGTGGTCGGATCGAATGCTGCAGGGAGTCCCGGGGGTAGGGGGACCCCGTGAAGTCTCTCCTTTCAGGACGGGTAAGCCACCAATGACCTTTTAGAGAGGAACTGAGACAGAAGCCAGAGGGAGTTGAGTGGGTGGCAAGGACATGCTAGAGCAGGTGTGGATCACTTGTTCAAGAAGTTTGCCCATGAAAGGAGGGGGAGTTAATACAGAAGCACCAGGGGACACGCTCCCTGGGCTGTGTGACTGGGCGCTGGGCCTCAGAGAACAGCACCTGCAATATGCCAGGCGCCAGGCTCAAGAGTCTGGAAAAAAATCTGAGGATGGAGGAGCCTGGGGGGAAATGCCACAGCTCTTTGCTCAAAGCGAATGTCCCTAAAGCCACTCATTAAAAATACCCTGGCTGCCGTCCTGCTCGGTCCCTGGAAGCTAAGAGCCCAGTGGCTGTTCTCACCCACTGTCCCTGATACCATCTGGCGACAAGTCAAGCGATTCAACAACTGTGGGTCCTGCCCTGAAACCGGAGAGCTGATGCTTACCTCCCGGTAATCTCCTGTCACTTTCCACCGCCCTCAAATGAGGCCTGATCTATGTATAGCTGGGGGCTGGCACGTGATGTGCCCGCAGGAGGCAGGGGAGGGGATAGCACAGCTACATCCTGAGACTCAGGTGAACGCTGGGGCCTCTGGGGCTGGATCGGTGGCCCCTGAAAAAGCCTTGGGGCGAGGGAGGCCATCCATTGTTCTATTTGGGGCTCTCACCTTGGCCAATGCCAAAGTGAAGACCCAAGGGCCAGTGCTGTGTGTTCTTTCCACTGCCCCACGCTGAGAAACACCATAACAACAACAAGGATACTGGGTGTTTACTACCTGCTGGATCCTGCTCTCACACCTAATATAAACTACCTTATGGAACCTTCCCCAAACCCGCATGAAGTAGAAGTTTGCAGATGAGGAACTGGAGGCACAGAGAGGCTAACCAACTTGCCCAGGACCACACAGCATTGAAGTGACACAGTTG